CTTTTCATTTCGACTTTGACCTCCAAAGTCGAAACATTTCGACTTTTGGGTTTTCATTTCGACTTCATGTATAAATACGATAAACTTTTTCCAGAAAAAATAGAACTCCCTAAAAACTTTATTGAACAGATAGCACGTACTAGTACGATAACAATACACGAAACTAGAACAAACGACTTTGTCACGAATGTCACCAAAGACATAATCAACAACACCATAAATAATATTTTAGAGAATAATGACATTATCTCCATTGCTGACACCTCCTCTCCTGAAATTGATATACTCGAAGAAGACGATATGGACTCCTCCTCTCAAATTACACACAAAGGACTCCTTCACCTTTCAACTGTCTTAACTAACAATACTATCATCTCTTTAAATAATGATTTGATCATTTCTGACTCATCTATGTGTCAATCATGTAAACAGTTATGTCAACAGTCACATCAACAAAATAAAAATGCGTCAAATAATATTTTATCACGTGATAATAATAATTTACCCCTTATTTTATCAAACACTAATACAGACGCGTCTATGCATAATATCAATAACAGTATGCACCATAACATCTTAGATAAGGATGATTTACGTCACACAATCAATCACACTTCTCACACTTCTTCTAATAATAACAATAGTCATGTGATCGCAACGGTTCTTGCCAATGTTCTTCCTGGTGATAATAGATTTGATTAATTAAGTTTGATCAACACTTGCTTTTCAAACAAGCCTGGTTTTATTAATCTTGATTGGAAATTTTACAATGGCAATACCAACATTTTTATTGAATTTAATAATAGAAAACTCCTTCTTTTAGCGATCGATGAAGTTCTGATGACACATCCCAATATCCCATTTAATATTTTGAATTAAGATACTTCTCTTCCTTCCAATCCAAATGCGCCTATATATAGATTAAAAACAGTTCCTACTATGATCTCTCACCAACATATAAAAAGAGCATTATTCTACTATGGACCTATAGAAACATTGGAAGACAAATTTAGAAATCGTCATAATTCTTCTCAGGATGTAATTATCATTTTTAAAAGACTCACAAAACCACATCAATTAAACTTAGCCTAGGCCTATAATATTAATGGACTAGTTCTAAGATGTGCATATATTAATACCTCCGTCAAAGATCTCAAAGCAAGAATTAGCTTAGTCATTGGTTTCAAAGGATTCTCAAACAAAACTACACCAGCAGAAGCATTCAGATCAATGAGATCTCATGAAGCCCGTTCTTGTTATTTTCATAACAATATTACTTACTTTGCATTCTCGAATGAATCTGATATGTATCGAGCTTGTTTAGCTAGAATTCTCTACAATGGATATAAATTGAATAGATGACCTAGAATCCTCAGTAAATTATACAACCCCACTCAATAAACCATTTCAGGTCACTAAATAAAAGACACAACAGATGTAATTCAGCTTCTCACAAATCAGGATGTCAAATGAAAGTTGATCACTACATTTCATCTCCACACCCTGCTCCTAATATTTCTGTCGACATCACCCCTATAAGAAATTGAAATAAGGAAATGATACGTTTTTTATAAGGTTTGTATACGTAATTAATGATTCTATATCA